CACAGAATGTCATTGACAGTAATCTCAGTCAGTCTGCCTCAGGCAATATAATGAAGAAGAGATGATGGATATTTTTGACAGCAGATGTTAAGTTTTGTTATAAACTTTATAATTGGTAATTACACCAGAGACACAAATTGTTCAGAATACTTGCATTTTAAATATCAGAGTTACTAGCCCTGTGCTGATGTATTAAAGATCTCTATCGTCAACAGCACACTGTGGGTCAGCTTAATATTGGCCTTATGCTAATTAATTGCCAAAAATAGTTATTGAGGTAAGAACTGAAGCAGATAACATATTTGTGTGACTTGGGAAATGCTTTTGGAAAAAAAAAATTTCAGATCCAAGGGTTGCAGTGATTGTGAAACCAACCAATATCGTACTGAAAAAAATTATCTGGTTTTAAAAAAAATATTGTTTAAAGGCAAAAGTTTGGACATGAAAAATGTATTATCAAAGATTAAGGCATATATACTTGTTAGGCAATAGGAGAAGATTATTCAAGTCATTCACTTGGTTTTTCATTAGTATTTCCCTTTATTTTAAAACTTTAGGCAATTTCTTTTGCAAATTCAGTGAAACATCCTTTTCAGAGTCGTTCTCTTGGTCTCTCAGTTGTAAAAATACTGTTGATACCATCTCTACCTTGTCAGATAAAATATGTCTACATCTGTCATTTCTTCCATAACATTTTTGGATATAGTCTATTTGTAGCAGACATCATCACTGACATTGCTGATATTCTAGCTACTAATTTCTGACTCCATTTGTTAAAAGTATTCTTCATAAGCAGCTTTTAATTTTATTGCCTTTTTGTATATAGGCATCAACAGGGAGAATTTTTTTGTACAAAAATCCTCCAGATGCTCTTTCATGTTGCTTAGTGCTAAAATGTTCACACCAGTTGTTTGCTGAAAAGAAGTGTCTGACACCCACAAATTTACCAGAATATTGTGGTTTTTGCCAAGAAGTTTCCTTCTCCAGCAGAGGGGATAAAGAAACTGATGAACTAAAAATCAGGAATAAAACCAAGGAGCAAAATGTAGAAGGGCACAGGCTCAACAATGGCAAAAGAAAAACATCTTTGAAGCTACCATATCAACAACAGTGCTCAATACAATTTAGAGAAAGGAAAGCCACTCAAATGCTAGCTATTGTTCTTAGTAAGCAGAAGGTTTCCACTCTTTTAGAAATGTAATTATTCTGTATCAGTATAAAAAGGTAAAGGTTTCCTCTGTCTAGTCATGTCCAATTCTAGAGATCTCCATTTCTTACCCGAGATGGCCAGTGATTTCGGAAAACACTTCTGTGGTCATGTGGACAGCATGACTATACACCAAGACACACAGAATACTGTTACCTTCTCATTAAAGTGGTACCTATTTATCTAGTCACATTTGCATGCTTCTGAACTGCTGGTTAGCAACACCTACAGCAAGTAACAGGGGTACACCATTATGTGGTGCTCATATCTTGAACCCAGGCTATCAGCTTTCCAGATGACAAGCTCAGCTTCTTTAAACACTGTGCCATCACCCACCCCCCATATCAGTATATAGCATATTGCTATAACTGTGGTATGAAATGACATATTATTCATAGTTTTGTGCTACCAGTCTTTGGGTGAAGTATGTAAAGATGTGTATGAATGGTGGTATGCATAGGACCCAGTTAAAGTACAAAGTTATGATCCCATTAAAGCAAGAGGAGCCTATTTTGGTATATGTCAGTCAATGCAGTGTGTGAAATTAAATAATAGAATGACTTCTACAACTCATCAGGAGCAAGCTCCCATAACAAGGGATGGTTCTAGAGGTAATTCTAAAAGAAAATATGGTACCCAAAGATAAGGTGTTGACCCTGAAGATGACATGTGTGTAGCCATTTTTATTGTCTATTCTTTTCTTAGCTTTTAGGTTTGCTAGTAAAGGAATTTAATATTACTTCAGGCTCACCACTCTCTGTTAAGGAGGGTTATAGAGATAAAGGGGAAATGTTATGTCTAAGTGGCTTTCCTTCCCATGGGAACAGAGAAGATGCCTGCAGCTGGAAGAAGGTGGAGTTTGGAGTCACCAGACTGATGGCCTTAGAATTGATTGGAAATTGTGACTCGGGGGGATGTTTTCTGTCTTTTGCTTTTTATTGGGTGTAATTCCGGATCAGAGTCGGAATTGCACCAAGTGCTTGCCCATTTGATATGTTCATAATACATAGACTCTAATGGAAAATGAATGCCTTGGATTTTATTTCATGGGACATGTCATTTGGAAGCTTGACATAAGGATCATACAATGGAATTTAAGCTGGAACTGGCAAACCCACATCAGAAGTTGTAAACATCAATGGTATCAAGCTTGGTCCTGGTTTCACATGGCAGAAGCCTTTTAGATACAACTCTGCAAGAGTGGAATCTTTATTGTAGACAAGAATGAAGACTTTAAGCCTGATACTAAATTGGTTACAGCAGAAAAAAATTCAGAACCTTAATATATCAGTTTAAGCTCTCAGCATCTTCTTCCTGACTTTCTGATTAATAGAGTTTACCTAGATGGTTGATATATATATCAACTTCATGTGACATTAGATGACGATATCTGAATGCATTAAAAACATTTAAATCACCCAAAACACAAAAGATAGTCAAGGTTTATGTAAATTCTGTTTCCATATGAAATCTCCTAAGAGTTGACTATATGGCTAAATTATTAATAGTCAAAATAATTTCAGTATTATTTTCCATGTTTAAACATTTTTAAAATTAAATGTGTACATTGTTTAAAAATAATAAGTTTTTAAAATACACAATATTTTGATTATATTTTTAAAAGTTACATTTTGGCACCCATAAAATGGTGTGATATTGTACAATGGCACCATTTACAGAACAGGTGACTAAGACTTATTTTAAGGAAAAGTAGACATAGCAGTTTATGAAGCCAAAGAACGAGGTACTTAATACTGCTTTGGATCAAGTTTTCTCCTCAATTTTTTTCCCAATCATAGAGAAAAAATAATCACATGTTTTCTCAATTCAGATTACCAAGAAATTTGAAGTACCTTGCTTCGAAGGGGAATAAATTAACAACAAAAAGACTCACATTTAAATAGCTTTTTCCATTATCTTTTAAAAGTAAATTTACTGAATGTTAGATAAAATTATATTTAGTTTTATTACTGCTAGCTTCCACATGGGCTTTGCTTTTAATAAGATATGTGAACAGATACAGTGAATCAAGGATCTCCAAGTATTTTCTAGAGTAATGTGCGGTTACCTTAAAAACAGACAGAATTAGTTTGACCTTGTTCATTTATTATCTTCAAAGTGGCAGCTTGCCTTTAGATGAGTGCCTTCAGATTTATGTGAATGAAGATTTATATCCACAATTAAACACTAGGGAGCAAAAATGTGTTGCTTTCTCATTTTCTTTCATATACTAGGGATTTTTATAGTCTGATGGCTGCCTTTCTTCGTGACACACATATTGAATATTCACTGTCAAGCCTGCCATGTCTCTCCAAAACTCTACAGTGTTACCACTTGGCTTGGTTACATCAACAGTGCCCTCAAACCTATCATCTAAAACCACCTTCAACAATGAGTTCTGTAAAGCTTTCCTTAAGATTCTGTACTGCTGAAATTTGTGGGAGTGCCTCAGCTTTGTATTCCTTGCAGAAACAGTGAAGGAAGGTATAGCTGAGATTGATTAATGTACATCAGAATGAATTTCCTCTGTTATTGGTGAATTTTGGACTATTTTTTCTATGGCTTTTCTCTATCATTTAATGTGGGAAATATTTTTGTAATAGTGGGATTCATGAACTTCATGATATGCGGTAGAGAAAACTCCTCTGAATTGCGCTACAGCTATATGTGATGTTGTAATATATTTTCATTATTTACAGAATTCGAGTGACACAATTTGATGAACACAGACGGTGCCCTGGAATTTGCATCCCTGGCAAACAGATATTCTGACATTGTTTTAATGAATCCAATATGCAATATTATTATGATTGCTTGTTGAGCACTTTAATAGAATTACACTTTAAGATATCTCCTAGCATAAATATTAGGTGTGAGTCAGATGATTTGCCACTTAAAATGGGAAGATCTTTGGTAATCTTCACTTTTTCTTCTGCATGCATATTCCATAAACATCTTTAGTACCATCATTGGCTGCCTATAGACATCAATCTAAAGATCCTGTGGGAGCATACTCTATAACCACCTTATAGTGTATCATTGTGAGGACACTTTCATAGGGACACATATAGAACAATTGGTCAAACAGACAGGTTTGTCTGTTTGACTATTTTTCCTGAAGCACATATCTGTTCATGTTAATAAATGCACTTGTCCAACCAAATTTGCTGCTTCTTTTCATAAAAAGAAGTCATTGTAATTATTTGTAATATATTTACTAGGTCAACAAACTGAATTCAAACAGTACAAAATGATTTGGATTGTAGGTACATAGGACTAAACATACCTTCTCCAAGGATTGAAGGTCAGTTGCAGAAGAAAACTCCATGATCCCAGGAAATAATGCATTTGGTCAATATGTCCCGAACAGTTGCTTCATATATTGCCTATTTTTACTAACTCGACAACTACAGTGATTCCCTTAAAAACCTTTAGTAAACTGTGGTAAGAAAGGTTGTAAAATGGGGCAAAATTATCTCACTTAGCAACACAAATTTTGGATGCAGAGCTCCTGGTTCTTGGGGAATTGCCATCTTATAGATCGGACAGCACTACCCCAGACACCTGTTGCATAACCTGGGGGTTCTCCTGGACTTACAATTACTGGTGGCAGTAATGGTCAGGAGAGCCTTTCCACAACTGTGTGTTGTGTGCCAGTTACATCCATTCATCACCAGGCCCTTCTCAAAGTCACTTGTGTCCTGGTCATCTCTCCTTTGGATCATTGCAATGCGCTCTACATGGAACTACGTTTGAAGAGTACCTGATAGTTTTAGTTGGCTCAAAACACAGTGGCTCACACAATTTTGTCCAAGTGAAATCTGTATACCTGCCATCTTTTACACTGATTGCAAATTTGCTTCTGGGTTGAATCTTGAATTGCATCTGGAAACACAGGCAACCAATGCAGCTCACACTGTAGTGGTGTTACATGTTTGAATACATGGTAAGTCCCTTAAGATTTGTTCTTGACAAATTCACATTGACTTCTGATAATTACTGTGTTGCTTTCAGTAATGCTTAAACTTCAGCTCTTTTTTAAGCCTATTAGACTCTCTTACAAGAGAGATAAGAAATTTATTGCTATAGTCCTCAAATTGGCTTTTTGAAGGATCATTTTGCCTGGTCTTCCCACTCTCACAGTTTTTTTCTATTTTATGAGTTCCTTCCCTCTCTTTCTCTCCCTCATGCCTTACTGCATTTCCCAGATATAATACAAAAATTTAAAGGTCTTATTAAAGTTCCCCACGCAGTATAATGAATTTAATAATATAAAAACTTTTGACATTCAAATATAGTATAAAAAATCCAGTAGAAAAGAAAATTGCATCAAATAATCTAAAGAAACCTAAAATACATTATTTGCTGTATTTGCTTTTACTATCAAAGCCTTATGCATACCCCACCAAACATTACCGTAAAAGGATATTGTTGAAAGAGTGCAATCCATACCCATGAGATAAAATAGCTATCTTTTTACATTATTATAATCAGGGTAACAAGCAACTTATAACATATTAAAAAAGCTATCTATCTAACAAGAATACACAGGACTTTAAGGAATGCGTTATTTTAAAATGTTTCCATCATCAGAAGTGTCCAAGTGTGACATATTTCATAACGAACTATTTTTCCTATGATTTCAGCTACTGTATGTCACCTCTTCCTGATATATTTTAAAAAAACTAAAATAAATTAATATACAATAGTACACCTGTATTTCAAATAGATGTCGAGTTGTTTTGCCATTGTCCCGATTAGTTGATGTTCTTTTCTTCTCATTACAGTTCAAATGTTCATAAGTTAATATCATTAATACATATCAGAAAAGTATATGAATTCTTCTACAGAATATCCTAACTTTTATCTTTTTCCAAGATTAATTCTTCTGGAAAAAAATCTCAATCTTTCCTAAAATTATAAGGAAAGTTATAGTCAGATACGAGATGGCAGGCAACATATGGGTTTTCTTTTATCATGGATGTCTACCTCATGGTATTAACAGCTCTTCTCCATAATCTTGATCCAGAAGGGGAAGCGAGGTTGAGGAATCTCCTTTTTATATCTGACCTCAGAGGGCTTGCCTGCTAATAACCTTTCTTAACTGATCCAACTTATCTTCTTTCAAAGCATTTCGGATAGAAGAAAAGAAGCCAAAGTAATGCTGAAAGTTATGCATCATAAGAAGCACATAAGCCAACAGCTCTTTGGTCATGACGAGGTGATGGACGTAGGCACGGCTGTGGTTTTGACAGCAATAGCATGAGCATCCATTCACTAAAGGATTAAAATCATCCTGGTACCTAAAAGAGAAAAGCACATTCACGGATAATAAGTCAATTCATCCATGCAGCTAAGGCTACACTTTGAGTCCAGTGTGGTAACTTTAAAAACTAACTATAAGACAATTGCTGAACACAGCATGAACATTTAATGACTGATATTATCATCATTATATGCCATTATCTATATACACGGTACTTCACAAAAATGTCAGAAGAGTCATCAGTTTCAGTTTACAATCTAGAGATGTGCTAACATATTTTGCTGTAATACTGTGGTTGAAATTAACAACTGATATGTTGACAAAGGACTTATCAGTCATCAAAACCCCAACCAGAATGTTATGGAGTTTAAAAACATGTGCTGTCACAATTCTCATAATGAAAAAAATTAGCAAGTTCTTTTCGGTATGAATTATTGTTCCCTGTGCTTTACTACTTTTATTCAAACTTATTTTTGACAATGATTATATTATTCTATTGTATTTCCCAATGGTCCAACTTGCATAGAAAAAGGATGAAAAGGATAAATGTTTAATATGAGGAACTGCCTTTACAAGTTTGGCATGTTGGGCTTTTTTTAGAACTTTTTTTAATACATGGCATGATTACAGCAGGACCATGATAGTGGGGGACAAGCAACAAGACAGAATCAGCAAGTGTGACCTTGTTGTCTTCTAAATAATGACACTCACATGGAGAAAAAAACACTCTGAGAGAGCACTATTATATTTTTAATATTATAAGAGATCCATGTAAACAAACTGCTAAGCACAGAGTTGCAAAAACATCATGATGAAGATATCTAGGAGCGCTGTTAACCTCAGAAAATTATATGGTTCAAACCATCATGTCACAGGACAGTTAAGGTTTCATGAATGTCCCTAACTATAAGATCAAGAATGTCCAAAGCACAGCATCAAATCCCAAGCCATGAAAAATGTTTTTAAATGGCTGTGATCTATTTTTTCTTTGCCCAGACATACTTACAGTTTTAAAATCATCACCAGGATTTAGTAGCAAATAGGAGATAAGATACTTATTCAATAGCAACTAGGAATGAATGATTATTGGCATTCTGTGGAATTATTGATCAGCGGTGACTTTACTCAAGACACAGTAAATTCCTATGCAAACTGACTTAACAGTTTCTTTCAATTCAATGGGACTTGTTTTCAGATAAATAAATATAGCATCAAAAGGACCCTTTTGATGCCAAGGGTTTCCATGTAATATTGTCAGGTCATGCAAAATTTGAAGACCCAAGGTTTTCTCAGAGAAAAAGTGTGATTTTTTCTCTTCAAATTTTTGTTAGGGCTAAAATTTCATTTTTGAGTGACATTGGTACGTAACCCAAATATTAATTTTCAGCAACTATGGTCAGAAAATGTTCTCAAAATGGCAAAAAAGGTGGGAATAGACAAGCAACTACCTGTTTATGAAATTAGGCCAACAATGTTCAACAGAACATATTTCCCAATTAATGCTACTTCCCACTATAATATTACTCAGGACCCACCCATACAAAAAGATGGAATTTTAAGTAAACAGAAACCAACATACTTTCTGTCTTTCAGATGAATTTCAAATGAAGTCATTTCCTGAGCTTCCCTGCATGTTTCATCTTTTGGATTTTCATCATCTTTTTCTTGAGCTTCACTGCATGTTTCATCTTTTGGTTTTTTATCATCTTTCCTCACCTCTGTTTTCTCATCTTCCTCTATATCTGCAATAAAGGAGAAGTTCATACTTAAAGGCTATGGCACTATTTCAATGCTTAACTAGTTGTCACAAAATGTGGAATCAAATAATTTTGATACTTACAAAGCAGTAAAATAGGGAAAAGGGAGGCAATCTAATGTTTTAAGTTAAAAGCTTAAAATGTAAATGACTGAATTTCTCATTGTTTTGTAACTATCTGCCCACTCAAAATAAGCAATACAACATTCTAACCAAATGTTATTAATTGCAATATGTCATTATACTTATTTTCAATTAAAATATATTCATTTTCTATCAATTTACTTTTACATTTTAATCAGAAAGTTGAGGTTGGGCCCTCAAGGCAATGATTTAATCTTAAAAAGGAAAGCTTCCTATTTTCCAACTGTAAATGTCTATCAGGATGAATCTTTCATAATCCTGATCAGAAAAAATATAAAATACATAGCAATCCTCTTCACTTTTTGAATATTCTAAAGCTAGATTATGAGTTTGTATAATATAATGACAATAACTTGTCTTACAATGGTGGGCAAAATAATAGATAATTTATTAGCACTTTATTACAAAATCTGTATGACGTTGATTTGCGAGAAGCTTCTAAAAAGGTGATAAATGATATAAAAGATCTGAGCTATCAAGGAATGAAAATCCTCAGCCATTAAGATCTCCATGAATTTTTAAAAAAATCCTCACGTTTACTCTATTTGTGAATGACAGCAACTTCACTGCTTTGGAAAATATTTACATTTTTAAAAGGTACAGTCCTTAAAATTTTCTTTATCAACCTATGTATTTCAGGTTTGAAGGCCAAAGAACAAAACAACAAATTGTGCACATATGACTTTGATTAACATATAAGGTTTGTTGGTTTGTTGAAGAAAAAGCATCAGCAGCACAAAGCCAAAGAGAAAAAGTCCTTAAAGTGTATCTTGGTTTCTTCAACCATATGGGGTTGAAATAAATAATGATAATAATAAATAAATAATACTATAAATAATAGTGGTCTTAACTATAATCTTAAGCCTCAGTTGAAAGTAGCACTTCTAGTATATAAGTAAAGTTTTGTTTGCAGTACAATAGGACAAAAAGGAGAAGGTGATTAACAACCTAATTAGAACATTCTCAGAAGGATGTTAAAACAGAATAAGCATACAGATTGGAATCTTAAGAATTTTAAAACTCACATTATCAATATTGTATTCAAATAACCCCATGCACATAGGTTTATCAAGACCAGTACCTGCTGATTCCGGATTCAGTTGATAATCATAACTGAAGCACAAAGCACAGTGTCGTTCTGTCACCTGGTAAGGAAAAGAACTGTCAAAAATATCTATTCCTCTTTTAATGCACTCCAGAATTTCATCTGGTTTACCAATTCCATGGATTAGTCTGCAATAGACCAAAACAAAAAGCCATTTTAAAATAATACTTGATACATATTTTTGCAATTCATTTTGTTCTCCTATCCATATACTCCTTTCCCATTTTACCTTGGTAAATTCTGGAGTTACTGTTACACGTTCTGTGTTATACTTACAATAATTATGTCTAATAATGAAGTCAAGTAGATATTTATATCTAGTCCCAAACAACTAACAAAGTTTCTGAGAAATAGGTGAGGCATGACTTACAAAGCCTGAGAGAAGTGGAAGGCCTTGCATCCTCTCTAAATACCTTGGGATTCACATACTCTGATTTATCAGAATTCCAAAACAACCTTGCTCCAAAATTCAGAAGTAGATGAGAAAAATCTCAAAGGTTAACTTCCTATCCTACATTATTAGGTAATTTATGTGACAGTTACTCCTTGTTGTATATGTTGTGTATAAAGCATTCTCTCAAAATGGAAGGCCTCCAGAAGTGTTTTACTTCTTCCCAATCTGCCTACAGATAGGAAGACTAGATGGAAATTAGATGGAATCATCTGAAGGACACTTAATTGGGGGGAAACTGCTATAAGGATCTGTAAGTTACCAACCATTTCTTGAACATCTTGAGCATCTGAAAATAGTAGCTGAATCTACTAGATTTACCGTATTTTCACGACCAAAAGCCGCACCGGATTAAAAGCCGCAGTATCAATTAACGTTAATTTTTTTAACTTTTTCCACATATAAAGCGCACCGGGTTATAAGCCGCACATTTCCCGACGCTTCTGGACATCGCGAGGAGCGGCACGAGGGTTCTTGGCGCTCCGGGGGGCGCCGAGGGCGGCTGGGAGGGGCGCGCGGCTTGGTTTCTCCTCCCTGGACGTCGCAGCGGCGGCCCCGGGCTCACCGATCTCTGTGTTTTTCGCATCGGGGCATGCTCTTGCAGCGCGCCCCGATGCGAAAGGCACTGGGATCGGTGAGTTTGGGGCTGCTGCTGCGGCGTCCAGGGAGGAGAAACCAAGCCGCGCGCCTCTCCCAGCTGCTTTCGGTGCTTCCTGGAGCGCCGGGAGCCACAGATGTCCAGAAGCGGCTTTTGGGGCTGGTGGGGATTGGATTTCCGGCTCGGTGGCCCCTGTCGCTTCTGGACGTTGTGGGGAGCCGAGGAGAGTGTGGAGGGGAGCGCGCGACGGTTCTTGGCGCTCCAGGAGGCGGGAGAGGCGCGCGGTTTGATTTCTCCTCCCTGGACGTCGCCCGATCTCTGTGTTTTTCGCATCGGGGCGTGCTGCAAGAGCATGCCCCGATGCGAAAAACACGGGGATCGGCGCGCCCGGGGCCGCCGCCGCGACGCCCAGGGAGGAGAAACCAAACCGCGCGCCTCTCCCGCCTCCCGGAGCGCCAAGAACCGCCGCGCGCTCCCCCCCACACTCTCCTCGGCTCCCCACAACCGTAACAGACGTCCAGAAGCGACAGGGGCCACCGAGCCGGAAATCCAATCCCCACCAGCCCCAAAAGCCGCCTCTGGACATCTATTGCAGTCGCGAGGAGCAAAGCAGCTGGGAGATCTTTTTCCACATATAAAGCGCACCGGGTTATAAGCCGCACTGCCGATTTTGGATCAAAATTTAGGATTTTTAGTGCGGCTTATGGTCGTGAAAATACGGTAATCCAAACTTTCTCTACAATGCAACTATTTTCTGTTTCTAAATCCTTCAAAATTCCCCAATGAATATCAAATTTCCTTGCATCCCAATGGACATTATATTTGACCAATGACAGTAACTATTTTAGTGGCACACTGAAACAGGTACTGTGTTCCCCAAAAATAAGACAGGGTCTTATTTTGTTTTGACTCCCACCAAAATTAGCACTTGGCCTTATTTTTGGGGAAGTCTTCTTATTTTTGAGGCGCTGGAGGCGGGGAGTGTGATCACCTCATGGCTGCTGCTGTGTTGCAATATTTTCGGGGGAGGGCTTATTTTAGCACATGCGCTCAAAAGCCCAATTAGCCTTATTATCTTGGAAGATCTTATTTTCAGGGAAACAGGGTAATGAAATTGTAACAACCAAGAGACTGCACTTTTAATTTCTTGAACATGCTAGTTTATGCCTATTGCGGATTCATGATATACATTCCCTTAACAGTGAAAGAAAATGGAAAATGGAACACTCTCATTGCCTAAATGAGCCACCTTAAGAGCCAAGGTGGCGCAGTGGTTAAAAGCAGCACTGCAGGCTACTGCTAGATCAGCAGGTCAGCGGTTCAAATCTCACCGGCTCAGGGTTGACTCAGCCTTCCATCCTTCCGAGGTGGGTAAAATGAGGACCCAGATTGTTGGGGGCAATATGCTGACTCTCTGTAAACCGCTTAGAGAGGCCTGAAAGGCCTATGAAGCGGTATATAAGTCTACTGCTATTGCTAAAACTCTGAAGGATACATTATACTTATGTGTGTAATGTGGCCCTAAACAGTTGCAGATTCCAATATCCTCAGATTCTTGGTGGTGGGGTTATTTTTCCAAAATAAATGGGAGACAAAATTCAACCATTTTTTCAGAGGGTATTTTAATAATATTATTGCATTGCGAGAAGCTTCTGTACCGTTCTGGAAGGATGGAAAGCTGTACTGGGCTCCTGGCATTATTACACTACCACAGAATTATATGTAATGATGGCATTGTAATTTGCAGAACTTCTCAAAACTGAACATAAAAATATACCTGAAAATTCATTTGATCTAATGGCTAATGAACTGGACTTCTACTCTTGCTTTGGCATGGAAACTAATCAAGGACTTTCTACCAGTCATCTGCCGTAGCCCTAAAATAAGCTAATGGCATGCCACTTCTGATAGGCTAACTAGACTTATCCATACCATCATCCTAAGTCAAGTTTGGTTAAAGGCAAAAAAACAAAAAAACTACACACAAATACACAATGCACTCACTTTTTAGAATTATCTTGTTGCAGTAGAAAACCAAACCAAAGAAAAAGGATAAATCACAGCACTAGTATGTTGCAAATTTGATTTTCAGAATTTCTAACTCAACCTAAGCTTGTTGTGATCAAAATAATATTTTGGAATATAAAGGAAACAATGTTTTACCAACAGTATACACAAAAGTCTCCTTGGGGCTTGAAAATGTAGCTGGGTTTACCAAGCTTCTTGCACTGTTATTAATGATGCCAGACTCGAAATTCATTTGGCAGATCTGATAAGACTAAAGAGGGGAAGGAATAGTAATTTTGCTCTCTACAGGAGTAATGTGCTGACAACTATATAAACTAGTTTTTAAGCTTCCTGAATAAGATAATTACATTCTGTTAATAAAACGATTACACAATTCATTAATATTTGTAGTTCCTTAAATGGAGCCTTTTTAATAGCAATCTAAGATACTTATTAAAAATAGAGTGATGCCTGCAAAAGTTAACAGACATTCTGTTGTCCCCTATTATTTACACAATACATATCTTTATCTCAATGTGAGAGAAAGAAGATAATTATTGATACACTATTGAATAATTATAATGTATATAATAATTGTATGTATCAGTATTAAGTTTTCAATAACTTCAAACTTAATGGGATCACAAATTCCAACCTTTTCCCCCTGATTTTGAATGCAATTGAGTGAATGATACAACCTAAGTTTTAAAATATCCCCAAATTACTTTTAAACATGGCCATTTTATTACTTCCTTGCATAATTGTGGGCATTCTAGGCAATAAAACAAAGGCAGCTCATGCAGCAAACATCAGCTAAGAATATTCGAGCCTGTCTTAAGTTACCAAAATCTATTTTTGTAATACCACCTAACACAATATCTCATCATAGATTCAAAACTGCTCTGTATTTGTGAAAATCCATCCAAGTGCTACATTAGATATGCTTAAATAAAAATCCCATTTAGCTCTGACCTTGGTTTATCCTCTGGCAGCTCAGCTATAACTGAAGTTAAGAGCTCCAATTTAGTCTCTTTAGTCATGGTATTTCCTTGAAAGGCATCCAAAAGAAATCCAGCCACTGGTCTCTTGGCAGTCTCCCTGGCTGATCTTAGTCTTTCCTCCAACACATCTCCACCTTCAATAACTCCAAACATCAAACTCTGTTTCAATTCCTGGTATGAAAGAAAGTCATATGTAAAATATAAATACATCCCCTGGTTCATCAGATGTTGGACAGAGTCGGAAGGGAAAGTAGTCTGCTTTCCTGCAGATTGTTACACTAGTGCAGGGGTCGGCAACCCATGGCTCTGGAGCCGCATGTGGCTCTTCCATCCCTCTGCTGTGGCTCCCTGTCTCTCAAAATATGTGTCACAACTGCCAATGTGCGACACCTGCCTGCCCGCAATTTATTGAACTTTTCGGCCCTTGGTAGGTTTTGTGGCTCCTGGTGTTTTTTCTGTGGGAAACGGATCCAAATGGCTCTTTGAGTGTTTAAGGTGGCTGCCCCCGCACTAGTAATATCAAACAATAAGTATAGAATGAGCAAAGAACATAATACTTAAAATAAGCTCTAGTTTATTTTTTTCTTTCATCCCGTATTGTGATTTTAAGCAATACTTTAAATACATGTATGATTCATAGTCCTAGCTCTAGTTAAGAATATTTTAACTTTTTAAAGCTATTTTTCCTAGCAGATTGAAATTTTCTTTCATCAGTGACATGAAATTCCCCATTCAGGTCTAGATTACCACTTCTTTATAAATGACCTCTGGGCATTATTTTTGCTACCTGAAGTTTAAACTGTTTTTTTTTTTTTCCTTTTAAAAGGCCAAATGATTAATACAAGAGCATTTTTTGTTTTGGAGAGAAAAGACTGTACATTACTAATTATAATTGGCCTTTCTGCTAACACAAAGACATAGACTTCATATGAAATCTATTTGGTATTATTATTTTAAAATTTTATGCCAAGCTTCAAGGGTTTTATAAAGACAAGATATAAACATTTTAAATAAAATAATATTCACAGATTCTGACACAGAGAAACTGGAACGGCTCTAATTAGAGTGCTGCAGTATTTTTTGCAAAGGGATTGGATTGGATTGGATTTTGTGGAAGAGTGCACAACGCGGCCCTAAAATAATTTGGTTTATCAATATAAAATTAAATTAAAAATACAAAGGGGATGAATCATTATACTTAGTTCTATGCAACAAAAAGAAAACAGAAAGAAAGAAAAAGACAATGTTCTATAGATTACATAAATATGAGTTGTCAGAAACAATGCAGGAATTCTGCAATCTGCGTTTACCAAAATATCTAAAACTTAGCAAGTAACTGCAACGTGTATATAAACCTCAAAAAGATTTAACCCTTACTGGGGAATTTTCTTGCAGCTGTAGACATTCATCCAAAAAGTACAATGATCGATCTACAGATTTCTTGGCTTTCTTTCTGGAGATGTCTGCTGAAATAGTGTCTCCATCTGATAAACACTGGAACCAGTCTGGCTGGATAGCCTTTTGGATATCCATGAACTTTGATGCTGTGAGTTCTTTCCGTCCTCTATTGTTCCATATAGATACAGTCTGTCAGAATTAAGGGGAAAAAATTAGATGATTTTATCCACTATGAATTAATTCCATTCTTCTACTTGTTTTCCATCTGGCTATGCAGGAATAGAGAGATGTGGTGGCTCAGTGGCTAAGATGCTGAGCTTATCGATCAGAAAGCTTGGCAGTTTGGCGGTTTGAATCCCTAGTGTCATGTAATGGAGTGAGCTCCNATACATACATACATACATACATACATACATACATACATACATACATACACTTTCTCCAAGCACCATGGAATGAATTAACACAATAAGACTCGAGTTCCGTGCAACGAGATGAGTTCCTGTTCCTTGCTCCAGCTCCTGCCACCTAGCAGTTCGATAGCATGCAAATGCAAGTAGATAAATAGGTATCACTTTGGTGGGAAGGTAACAACATTCTGTGCGCCTTTGGCATATAGCCATGCACGGAAAACGTCTTCAGACAATGCTGGCTTCCTCAGCCAAGAATCAGAGATGAGCACCGTCTCCTAGAGTCAGACATGATTGACAGGAAAACCTTTACCTTTTCATTTAAGACTAGTGCTAGATCAAAATAAGACATAACTGCCCCCATCCCCATGCTTAATCGTGGTTTGTTCAGCCATAATTGTTTGGGTTCACACAAATGAAAATTAAATAAGCCTGTTATGACCTGGTTCACATATCATGTTAAGACATTGCTGCTTCTACTTTGTTTTTTAAAAATTAACTACAATAGCTAAGATTCACACAGCAGATGAAACAATCATTGGTATCCGAAAGCACTGTAATTTTTCTGCAGTGGATGAGTGCATTGTCTAAATACAATTAGATTTCAGTATGGCTGAAAAGCAAATTATAACAATAAAATTTTTAATTCGGGGTAGTTTATGTGCAACCTTAGGTAGTCATTTTATACAGTTCACAATTTCTAATATAATCTATATGATTTCACTTCTCACCTCTCTCATCTTTAATATTTGACAGTTGTTCATTGAATAAAGAAACAGATAAAGGACTTTCTAAAGATGAAATAATTTTAGAGCTGAAGGTAGAAATGGAGCGGTTACTGAGCAGTAACAAAGCAAAGAGGAGCCGGATTTCTCGACTGCAAAACGACCTTGAAGATTGTCACAAGTCCATACAAGAACTGAAGCAGCAGCTGGTAAAACCCAATGTATGTGAGAGGTGTCACTTGTTTTGCATGTCAATGAGGAATATAATTTTCTATTTTATGAAAGTGCTTTAGTACAGCGGATTGCAGGTTAGTGACCTGTTATCAAAAGACCCCAATAAAGGAAATAGGAGACAGCAAATACAATAAAAAATCTTATTTTAAGATTCAGAGGTATATTTCATGAGCAATTGGGAACATGAATAGCCATAATAGCATTACTTATATCAATATCCCATTGCAATGAGGTCCAGAGATGATAGCTGGGTCCTCCAAGGAACAGCTATGCCAGTGGCCTCGAACACATCCCAAGACACTATTTTTATACTTTTCTGCGGACATTTTACAATTTCCTTTTACTGACCGTCAGTTTGCACATCAGTTAGCACATTCTTGTGTGCGCATGTGAAATCTCCTTCCATCTGCTTGCTTTCGGTTCTCTATTTCTCAATATCTTAATGTCCTGTATCCAAAATAGCTTCTGAAACTGCTTCCTTTGCAAATACATGTTATAAGTTGCTTTAGTACAGCGGATTGCAAATATTGCTTTATTCTTGAGTAAATCATTTTAGCTAAGCTTGTTAATATATATGGCAATTCGTTTGAGGCCTAACTTTATTTTGCACCTTTACAATCAAACTTTTAATTTTATTCCACTTACAGACCGTAAGGAAGGCTACCTGTTCTCTCTCTTTCATATAGACATTAAAAAGTTAGCACTTTAGCTCTGGGTTTTTTAATTTATTGGACAAAATGCAGTGATTGTGGTGAATTGGAGTTGCTAGAATTTTTTCTTACTTGGCCAGATTGGGGGATATTTCCAATTTATCCAACCTAATCATTTTTTCTCGTTGTACTTGCATAGCTCAGTTATGACTGACTTTGTCTCAGTTTCCCCCAGGGGTAGCTTTGATGAAAATACAAGTTTCACCACAACTTCGGAATGCATTGGGTGGACAACTTGTTTTGATAAGGAATACGCAAGAAATATTGCAGTGAATTGTGAATTAATATTTGGAAGACAGGATGTTGGCTGTTAGCAGAATAAGCTGCTGCTTGCAGAAATCCCTCAAGAAAAGATTACTGTAGACAACCTGAAATCTTCCAGATGTTGCTGACTTTCAAACTCCAGAAAGCTCCCATTGGCTTTGCTGAATGAGACTGCTGAGAATTTCAGTTAAGCCACAGGTTTCTAACATCTGAGTGAAAAAACCCCAGAAACATTAGTGATGAAACAAAATTGCTGCTTTGTTTGCTGACAAAAAAGTGAATTTGTAAGTAATTGTTTGTTTTATACGTGCTCCCTGCCAAAAATCTGATGGAGGGAGACAGTTTCTACTCAGAGCTTAGAAAGCTCACGGAGAGAAAGCAGCCTTGTAGTAGAGAATTTGGAAAGCTGTAGGAAGAAAAAGAACGATGACAAGGGATTAGACAGATATAATTGAAGTAGCTAACACTCAACGATCATGTAAGCAATAAACGTTCATTTTTTTTCTTGAGAAATGTGCTTTCAAAGTTAGAGCACGCTTCAGACATCCCGTTAAAACATTCTATGTTTTTCCTTGTGATTCTTCATTCTTCACAAAGATGCCTTCTTGGGTAGCTATGATCTATACGTGATACTAATACATCCATGTGGGAAGCACCAAGGTGCTTCTGTGGTGAAAGGATTTGCTGGTTAACATCACCATTGCTGGGGGGGAATGCCCAGTTGGAGGCTCCTTCTGCGTCCCTGTGAAGTTGCACCCATTTATCTACTCGCAGTCGCCTGATTTCGAAGTCAGCAGGAACTGGAGCCTGTGACGGGCGCTCACCCACGCTGTGGCAGCAACGGGTCTCCAACACAAGCCTGCCGATCATCAGCCCAGCATTTTAACCTGCACTCCCCTATCTGTATGTGATATCCTTACGGATTTATTTAGTGCTATAGTTATTTAGTGCTGTGGTTTAGCTAGTGTATGATATGGCTGACTACACTTGAATGCCCACTGCGGTTCAAACTTTACCCATGATGTAAAGGCATATTGACCTAGAGGTGAAACAACTCAGCTTTAGAGACCCTTATTTGTCTGTTGTACCATTGGAGCATTTTTGAATGCTACCCATTCCTGAGTGGGGCGGAATTTATTTAACCAACAAATTTGGGGTTTCGCATAGGATCAGCCATCCAATAAAATGGGATTTTTTTTGACCCGGATTTATCTCCAGGTGCTTGGAGTGGCGCGGTGGCCTAGTGGTGGAGCTCTTGCCTCACAATCAGGAGGCTGTGAGTTCAATCCTAGGTAGAGGCAGATATTTCTCTCTCTCTCTCTCTGGACACAATGAGAATACATCTACTGAACAAAACTCTGCATTGGCGACAAGAAGGGCGTCTGGTCAATAAACACTCAGCTCCATTCAGTTACCCAGACTCCACACTGATGCCGGGAAGTACGGGATCATTAAAAGACACAAAAAAAAAGTTGTCTACCCATTCCTATCCTCCTTGCTGTGTTTTTGTTGCTCCTTTCCCTGTTGTTCCCTGTTTCCCTGTTGCAGCAGAGATAGGACAGAACGCTTGAGTAGATTATTCTCAGATAGCAAGACATACAATTGCACTGTCATATTGCCCAGTCCTTCATTATCCTTGCCTTGTTCCATTGAACACCAACTTTCTTCTATACCAGATAGTTAAAGAAACACAGCCCAATGATAGCTTGAGATCAACCCTGACTGCTCTTTAGAAGGCTTTAGAAGATGAAACTCAGATACTTTGGCCACCTAATGAGAAGGAAGAACTCCCTGGAGAAGAGC